CAAATCACAATGACTTTTTATTTCCCTTTCAGGGCAGGATAATTTAGAATAGGGTGGTTGGGAGGTTGTTTAGCCACCCCCACCCCCCAGCCAAAACCACTTCCTTCGACCTTCGGTGCAAGGTTTCACATATATGTCTACCCCCAAAAACCTAATAGGTATACCCTAGAGCAGGGATTTCTTGAGTCTGTGAGCATCTTTGGACTTCTGACACAGCCGGTGGGTGCAAGCACAAAATGGCTGCCACATAACAGTAAATCGGCAGCATTACAGACAGAAGCTCTGTCTGGCAGTTTTAAAATGAAGGGACTGTTTTAAAATATTTTCTTTCATACACACAGCTTACCTTCAGGAACTCTGCGAAGACCCTTATGCTGTGGTGGCAGTGGCTGCCAAAGCAGCATCTCTACAGCCAGTCTGATCTCCAATGGCCATTCAAAAGCTCTGCTGGACAACAGCCCCTTCTGGCCTGCCCACTTTCTAAAAATATCTGGCATGCACCAACAAAGTTGTCAGTAGGCACCATGGTGCCCACGGGCACCGTGTTGGGCACCCTTGCCTTAGAAGGCCGTTGAAAGTATCCAGGGGTCATTTCCTGCAGGAGCGCACAGGAGCGGAGCTCCGGCAGTAAAGAGCCCAGGGGAAGGGCATATGCAACAAGCCCCACCCCCTGTTCCCAGCAGGCCTCAGTCAGAGCAAGAAGCAGCCAGGTAAGTTGCAGACCCTAACCCCCCCCCCCTCAGCCCTCCAGCCCAAAACATTCCAGTGGCACCTTTAAGACCAGGTTTTATTCAGGTACAAGCTCTCCCTCCTCTGCGAGGACAGATCTGCACGTTCCCTCCCCCCCAATAGCTAGCAATCCAAAACAGTCCAGTGGAGCCTGAGCGGTGGGTGTTGCCTTCTGACACACTTCCGGTGATGTCAGGAGGTGTGGCATATGCAAATAAGTTATGCTAATGAGTTATGCTAATGAGCTCCTGCACCTCTTTTTCTACGAAATGACCCCTGAAAGTATCTCAAATAAAAGTGAAATTTAAAAGTTCAGTTCATGGCCACATACCTAGCAAGATCAAACACCAAAGGACTGAATGGGAATCAGTCTTGTCAGATATACAACAATTCTCAAAATACGAAAAGGGCCTCCATACAAGGCAGTAGAGTTCAGAGTTGCTCAGTGAAGCAACTAGCTTGAGCGGGAACTGAGCCGACATGTCTAGGTCACTGCTGCCTGAGGTGAAAAAGAGGGAAATTATTGCTAGGCCTGACAGCCGTGCTGCTCCCAGGCATTTCGTGTGGTGAAACAGTTTACCACAGCAGTTCTCAAAGTTCTGCATCCCAAGGAACCCCATTTTTTAATCTTTTGTTTAAAATGTGTGAACCCTCACAAGCTCTCCTCTCCTTCTTGGAGCTAACACACTCAGAAAGATGTGTATGCCCCATGGAAGAGAGCATCCTTTCACACCCTCAAAACAATACAGCAAGACACTTAGCCATACTTTAAAAGAAAAGTGAAGTAAAAAATGGGGCCCTTGGATGACCAAGGGGTAAAAGGAGTACTGAAGGACAAGGCTGAGAAGCTGAATGCATTTTTTGCCTGTCTTCACTGTGGAAGATGCTTGCCCACTCCAGAACCACTGATTTTGGGAGGGGTGTTAAAAGACCTGAGTCAGATTGAGGTGACAAGAGAGGAGGTCCTGCGACTGATAGACAACTTAAAAACTGATAAATCACCAGGCCCAGATGGCATACATCCAAGAGTACTGAAAGAACTCAAATGTGAACTTGTGGATCTCCTTACAACAATATGTAATCTTTCATTAAAATCTGCCTCCATTCCTGAGGACTGGAAGGTAGCTAATGTCACTCCCATCTTTAAAAAGGGTCCCAGATGACATCCAGGAAATTACAGGCCAGTCAGTCTGACGTCGATACCGGGAAAGTTGGTGGAAATTGTTATTAAGGAAAGAATTATTAGGCACATTGATGAACAAAAACTATTGAGACAGACTCAGCATGGATTCTGTAAGGGAAGATCTTGTCTCACTAACCTGTTAGTGTTTTTTGAGGGAGTGAACAAACATGTGGACAAGGGGGACACAATAGATGTTGTTTACCTCGACTTTCAGAAAGCTTTTGATAAAGTTCCTCATCAAAGGCTCCTAAGTAAGCTCAATAATCATGGGATAAAAGGACAAGACCTCTTGTGGATCAAAAACTGACTAATTAATAGGAAACAGAGAGAGAGTATAAATGGGAAATTTTCTCAGTGGAGGGTGGTGATGATTTGGAGTTGGGAGTAAGCAGTGAAGTGGCTAAATTTGCAGATGACACAAAGTTGTTCAGGGTGGTGAGAACCTGGGAGGATAGTGAGGCACTCCAAAGGGATCTGTCGAGGATGGGTGAGTGGGCGTCAGCATGGCAAATGGGGTTCAATGTGGCCGATGGAGCCAAAAATCCTAAATATTGATGGGATCTGAACTGGCATAGACTGACCAAGAGAGATATCTTGGAGTCATAGTAGATAACTCAATGAAAATGTTTAGACAGTGTGCAACTGCAATAAAAAAAGACCAATGCTATGCTGGGGATTATTAGGAAGGGAATTGAAAACAAATCAGCCTGAATCATAATGCCTCTGTATAAATCAATGGTGCGACCTCATTTGGAGTACTGTGTACAGTTCTGGTCACCACACCTCAAAAAGGATATGATCGCATTGGGGAAAATGCAGAAAAGGCCAACTAGAATGAAAAAAGGGTTGGAACACTTTCCCTATGAAGAAAGGTTGAAACGCTTGGGGCTCTTTAGCTTGGAGAAACAATGGCTGAGGAGTGACATGATCGAGGTTTACAAGATTATGCATGGGATACAGCAGGTAGAGAAAAAAGTACTTTTCTCCTTTTCTCACAATACAAGAACTCATGGGCACTCAATGAAATTGCTGAGCAGTCGGGTTACAACAGATAAAAGGAAGTACTTCTTCACCCAAAGAGTGATTAACACATGGAATTCACTGCCACAGGAGGTGGTAGTGGCTACAAGCATGAACAAGAGGGAATTAGATAAGCATACAGAGCAGAAGTCCATCGGTGGCTATTAGCCACAAGGTATAGATAGGAACTCTCAGGCTGGGGCAAGTGATGCCTTAGCATAATAGGCCACACCCAACAACAGGAACTCATTAGCATATTGGGCCACACCCCTGACAGCACAGCTCATTAGCACATTAGGCCGCACCCCCATGTTACCAGAAGTGTGGTTATCCAGCCACACCCAGCTTTTGCTTGTTATTCTGTTTACCTTGTTTGTTGTCAACACCCAGGGCTTTTTTGTAGCAGGAACTCCTTTGCATGTTAGGCCACACACCCCTAATGTAGCCAATCCTAATGAGTTTCTGCTGGGCGTGGCCAACTTGGGAGCCAGCCGGACCTCCGTTCCTGTGCGTTCCTGCCCAAAAATAGCCCTGGAACTTTTACACAATCTGTGTGTATTGACAGAATTGAGGGGAGCCTTCCCTGACCTCCCCCAAGGTCCATTCCACGAGGCGGAGGGCCACCACAGAGAATGCACGCTGACAGGCAGTTATCAATCTTAGTTGCAGGGTGGGACCTTCAGAAGACTTTTCCTCCGATAAGCCAAAGTGCCAGGGGGAAAGCACTGCAGGAGAGGTACTCCTACGGGTATGCGGATCCACGGCTATGAAGGGCTTTGTATACAGTAATAAGCATCCTGAATTTGTGGGGAGGGGCTGTGGCTCAGTGGAAGAGCCTCTGCTTTGCACACAGGAGGCCCCAGGTTCAATCCCAGGCATCTCCAGTTAAAAGGACGGCAGCGGGGGATGTGAAAGGCCTTTCTCTGTCTGAGACCCTGGAGAACTGCTGCCAGCCTGAGTACACAGTACTGACTTTGACGGACCAAGGGTCTGAAGAAGAGGAAGAGGAGGAAGAAGAAGAGGAGGAGGAAGAAGAGGAGGAAGAAGAGGAAAAAGAGGAGGAAAAAGAAGAGGAGGAGGAGGAAGAAGAGGAAGAAGAAGAGATTGGAATTATACCCCACCCTTCACTACCCAAAGGTGTCTCAGAGCAGATTACAAACTCCTTTCCCTTCCCCTCCCCTCCCCACAACAGACACCCTGTGAGGTAGGTGGGGCTGAGAGAACTCTTGACAGAGACTGCTCTTTTTCAAGTACAGCTGTGCCAGAGTTATGGCTTGCCCAAGTCATCCAGCCAGGTGCAAGTGGAGGAGTGGGGAATCAAACCCGGTTCTCCAAATATATGAACAAAAAGGGTTCCAATAAACGTTTTGTGGGCTACTGGATGAGGGCAGAAGCTAGCACAGAACACGGGGGGATTATCACTCAACCATCTCTGGAGCTGTATTTGAAAAAAAAATTGGCACCTTACTCATGTTACCTCAGGGAACAATCTCCTTCCTTGTGAGGGCGGGGGAGATCCACAATAGCTTTTCTTGGGTTTCCAACCAGAAGCCACTACCAATTAAGACATTCAACTGGTTTTTAGGCTACTAAAGAACAGAAGAGCAATGCCACACATGACTTGGCTGACTTACTCGAGCTACCTAGATTTACTTACTCAACACACAATAAACTAGAAAGATTACAGGCAGATTTGCTGGCAGAAGGGGCAACCTAACCCTGGTGAATAAAATCCAAGCCATTTACTGGGAGGAAAACTCTTTGTACCACAGGAACCTTAAAATGTACGTCCTTATTGTCCTCTTCCAGAAATATTCGGGTTGCCAACCTCCAAGTCCTCCAGGATTACAACTGACTTGTAGACTATATAGTTTATTTATTTAAAATATTTATTACACGTCTCCTGAGGAAAAGGGCTGCTTTGGAAGGTGGGTTACATGGCATCACACCCTACTGAGGCCCCTCCCCCTCCCCAAAGCCCACCCTCCCCAAGCTCCGCCCACAAATCCTCCAGGAATGTCCTAACCGGGAGTCGGCAACCCTGAAATACGTCCCATACTTTACTTACACAAAGGCGGGGGGCGGCGGCTGTTTTGCAAATCCACCAGACAGTGCAGCACGGGGGTCGCCCCCCAAAAACTCCACCCCAGAGACAGCCTTGCCAATGGTGAACCAGTCATTGATCTGATCCACGGTGAGTTTTCGCAGCATGGCGGAACCCCGACGCGCCACGAGGCACGAGCCTCCTTTCGAGACGCCTCCCAAAACCAGACTGACTTGGCCGCGCCCACGTGCCGAAGTCCCGCAATCTGGCGCGCGAGGGGGCGCTTTAAAAAAAAATTAAAAACTAACTCCACCTGCCAGTGCCCGGGAAAAGTTTTAAGTTTCTCGCGGTCCTGGTTTTGCTCATTGTAAAGACTGTTATTTAGGAATAATCTGCGCTGGGCTCGATTTCTGAGTAGGATTACGAGGGGGCAGTTTGGATTTGGAATTGCAAATCGACGGTGCAATTCACGGTTCTGTAAATTTGGTGCCCCTACCGTAATGCTAACGTTTGGGGAAGGAATCAAATTTTTTTAGAATTAATCACATTGGAGTTTAGTGCTACTAAGGAAGGATTACAGCCACACGTAGCTTTTCTTCTGAAACTGAATCCATTATATTGGCCAACAAGTGTATTTTACTAGAAGAAAGGAGGAAGCCCACGGTAGTGTTGTACGCACAGTTTATGAAACACTGCTATACACTTTGCACTCTGCCACTGTGATCCGGAAGGTATCCGGTTCAAATGGCGGTATTGGTAGGAATTTAATGTGTGATTACACCGAGTTTCTCTTCCAATCTTGCCCTTTCAAGAGAGACCCCCCCCCAAAAAAAGTCATCGGGTTGTACTCGAGTGCTGGATTAGGGATCAGGGTTCAAATTCCTGTTTGCCATGAAACATGTTGCTTATAACCAGCCTCACAGGGTTGTTGTGAGCATCAAACGGAGAAGAGTTTATCTGTGGCCCTAAACAGGGTTTGTTTGTTTTTTAAATGCACCAAATATATAAAAAGGAGTCTCAGAGGGTCGATGATGTATCTCATTCCGATTGTACCAAAGCCAGTATGGGTTAGAAAACTGGAGATTTGGGGCAGAACCTGGGAGAGTTGGAGTTTGGGGATGAGAGAGAACTCAGCAGCGAAATGATGCAATGGTCTCCACTCTCCAGAGCTGCCATTTTCTCCAGAATTTATCTGCGTAGGCTGAAGATCAGTTCTAATGAGGGGAGAACTCCAGGTCCCGCCTGGAGGCTGGTAACCCTACGAGTTGGGCATGAACCCCACCCGGCAATCAGTTGACTCTATTTCCGAGTTTGTTTTTTTTAACTTTAACAAACTTTAACAAAATTTATTTGATTTAAACCCCGCCCTCCCCGTCAAAGGCAGGCTTCGGAAAAAACTTGAGCTAATTCCAAAGGTAATAGCCGTGATGGGCTGCAATCCCATGCATTTGCCCGGAAGTAATTAGACTAAGTAAAATTAGATTTATTCCTTCAATAATGCATGAGATTACCCTAGAACTAAGTCTGAGTCCAGTAGCACCTTTAAGACCAACAAAGTTTAATTCTGGGTATAAATTTTCGTGTGCATGCCCACCTCATCAGATATCTGATGAAGTGTGCATGCACACGAAAGTTTGTACCCAGAATTAACCTTTGTGGGTCTTAAAGGTGCCACTGAACTCTAAATTTGTTCTGCCGCTTCAGACCAACACGGCTGGCCACCGGAATAAGGTCTGAGTCCAGCGGCACCTTTAAGACAACAAAGCTTTATTTGAGGTACAAGCTTTCGTGTGCATGCCCGCTTCTTCAGATATCACCTGAATACGTTTGCAACTATTAAATCAGTTGAACAGAAGCCTAGAGGCACAATTCCGGGATAAACTTTCGTCAGATGCATCTGGGGAAAAAAACAATAAAATTAATAAACTGTCGTAGTCTTCCAGGTGCCCCTAGGATTCCTGCATAATTTTGCGCGCCCTGAGCAAAAGAGCCGCTTGTGGAGGGCGCGATCCTCCACGACAGAGGGCGCTGCAATTCGGAAAAACGCTGCTAGTCGGACGCTCTGGGCCGCGCTGACATTGCTCTCCCGGCAAGCTTTGCGGCGAGGAGGTCGGTGGTAGTGGAGGCGGACGTTTTGTGACCTTCGCCGGCGGCTCCTGGTTTTTTATCGTCGCCGGGTTCAAGGTGAGGCGCGCGGCCAGCCATGTGGGGCTAGCGGGTCGTGCTTGGCGATGGACTTTCTGTTTTCCTGATGTGGCAGTTAGGCCTCGTTCCTTGGGGGTGAACTGTGCCTTTGAGGCCTATGGAAGGAAAGGGGGGGGGGCTGAGAGTTTGAAACGGCAACATGTTCGTAGGGATGCCGGGCTCCAGGTGGGACCTGGGGATCCCCTGGGGTTGCAGCTCATCTCCAGACGACAGAGATCAGCTTCCCTGGAGAAAATGGCTGCTTTGGAGGGTGGACTCTATGGTACTGTACCTCACTGAGGTCCCTGTCCTTCCCCAGGCTCAGTCCCAAGATTTCCAGGGGTTTCATAATCTGCAAGTGGCAACCAGTGTTCCCTCTAAACTGAGTTAGTGTGAGCTGGCTCACAGTTTTTTAGCCTCTGGCTCACACGTTTTTGTCTTCGCTCAGGAAGGATGGCTCCAGAGCAAACTAATTTATGCAGTAGCCAAATAACTTGCTCACAATTCTAATGCCAGTAGCTCACAAAGTGGAATTTTTGTTCAAAGGACTCCACAGCTTAGAGGGAACATTGGTGGCAACCCTAACATGTTGCCTAGGAGCAGTGTTCCCTCTAAGCTGAGTTAGTGTGAGCTAGCTCACAGTTTTTTAGCCTCCAGCTCACACATTTTTGTCTTAGCTCAGGAAGGATGGCTCCAGAGCAAACTAATTTATGCAGTAGCCAAATAACTTGCTCACAATTCTAATGCCAGTAGCTCACAAAGTGGAATTTTTGTTCAAAGGACTCCACAGCTTAGAGGGAACATTGCCTAGGAGTGAGTCAGTTCTGCTAGATTTGATGCCATGGGGTTGTGAACTTGTTAAGAGGCTTTGGACTCCACTTCATACAAAATAGAACTTTGATTTGTGCATGGTTATTGTACCTACCTTGACTTACTATATCCTTTGACAAAGGATTTTCTTCGAAACGGTCAGAACATTACATACGATGCTGTCAGGGTGCACTGGATAGGATATTTTTTCCGATGGCCCGTTACTGCCCCTTGGAGGGCTTGTGGACTGTGTACAATAGAATTATCATTCTGTGATTTGTGAGACTATATGATATACAGTATGTTTTCTTGAAATACTGTGTTAATATATTCAGTGTATTTAATATATTTCTATGAGCATTATTACTTGTCTTTTAAAAAATGGGGGGGGGGTTTACCTTTTCGTTCGTAGATTTATACGTTCCCTTCCCGGTTAGTTTTGTGCTTTGTATTTTGGAATGGATATGGCTGCTTAAAGACTGCCAGTGAGGGGGAGCTCACCACCTCCCTAGGTAGCTGATTTCATTGTTGAACAACTCCGGGAGACTGCCAGGCTCCACTTGGAGACTGGCAACCCTAGTTGTCAACTCTCCTACCCTATTTCCTTCATCCTAATAGGATTTGGTTCCAGTTGTGAGCAATGTTCCCTTTAAGCTGAGTTAGTGTGAGCTAGCTCATGGTTTTTGAGCCTCTGGCTCACGCATTTTTGTCTTAGCTCAGGAAGGATGGCTCCAGAGATAACCGATTTATGCAGCAGCCAAATCGCTCGCTCACAACTTTAATGCCAGTAGCTCACAAAGTAGAATTTTTGCTCACAAGACATAGAGGGAACGTTGGTTGTGAGACATGCACACATCCTATTTAGCTTCTGACTTCCAGTACAGAGGCCAGCAGACAGTGCGTAGCAAGCAGCCAGCCAGCCATTCCCATAAGCAAATACAGCTTAAGCCTGCTCCTTGGGGAACGTGTCTTAGTTAACTTTAATAGACTTGTGGCTTTGATTCCAGTGAACTTGTGGGTAAGCTGTTTCCCTGGAAAGCAGAATGGTGTAGGGGTTAAAGCAGAGCTCGACAGATCCCAGGAGCCAGGTTGCCATGGGGCCTTGAAACTTTTCAGCAGTGTTTTTGTTGTAATGTTTCTCAGTAGTCCTTACTGGAAGTACAAAGCAGTTTAGGATTAGGTTTTGGGTAGAGATGTGAAGGCCCGGAAAAATTCAGGGGGGAAACGGGTTTTTCCATTTTTTTCCTGGAGCCTTTTTTTTTCTTCCGAAAAATTGAAAAAAGAAAAGAAAAAAATTGAGTATGGAACGTTTTATTTTAACATGATGAATAAGATATTTTAACATGATGAATAATTAACATGATGAATAAAATATTCATTTCTAAAAATATGTATGGTATCAGATTAATCTAATTTCTGTACACTGGTGACAAGCAAGTCCTTACAAACTGAACTCTTCAATGCAAGAACAAGATGCATTGCTTCCTTTAGGAGGTGCTATTGTCACAAGAAAAGGAAAAGGTTTCCGTTTTGTTTTTGCATGTGGGTATTCTGCAGCCATGAAATTAAAAGACGCCTGCTCCTTGGGAGGAAAGCGATGGCGAACCTAAACAGCATGATAAAAAGTAGAGACATCACCCTGCCAACAAAAGTCCGCATGGTCAAAGCAATGGTATTCCCAGTAGTCATGTATGGCTGCGAGAGTTGGACTATAAGGAAGGCCGAGCGCCGAAGAATAGATTCTTTTGAACTATGGTGCTGGAGAAGACTCTTGAGAGTCCCTTGGACTGCAAGAAGATCAAATCAGTCAATCCTAAAAGAAATCAACCCTGACTGTTCCCTGGAAGGCCAGATAATGAAACTGAAGCTCAAATACTTTGGCCACCAAATGAGAAGGGAGCACTCACTGGAGAAGACCCTGATGCTGGGAAAGATTGAAGGTCAAAGAAGACGGGGACGGCAAAGGATGAGATGGTTAGACAGTGTCATCGATGCAACGAACATGAAATTGAGCCAACTTCAGAGGACGGTGGAAGTATTTGAGCTTCAGTTTCATTATCTGGCCTTCCAGGGAACAGTCAGGGTTGATTTCTTTTAGGATTGACTGATTTGTTCTTCTTGCAGTCCAAGGGACTCTCAAGAGTCTTCTCCAGCACCATAGTTCAAAAGAATC